AAAATAAACAACACTCAAATGCCTTCTAACAAACCTGTGAAATTCCAGTAAGACTACTGCAGAATTCTGTTAGTCGTGGGTTAAGAACAGGTTTACAGTATTCATGAAATTCATCAACCTTTAAAATAAAAAGAAAAAAGGAATTAATGTTGACATTTGCAATCATATGCATAATAGCAAATCAAAATCACCTGCTACAAAGCTAAAATCTTCATTTCTTGTTCCTAAGAACAACTACATGTACTGTTAACCAACTTTTTCCATGTGTGAGAAATTTTTGTGAGTTTTGTGAGAGCCTTGTCATCAAGAAAATTTCTCGCCGCAAACAGGTACTTAAAGTCTCTATATTCTTATTAATAGACTGATCCAAAAAAGGCTTGATAGTGAATATTAATCTTCGCAAACTAGTTAAACCCCCCCCCCCCAACCAAAAATAAGTCGTGGCAAATAAAAGTTGGTTCACAGTATAATAATATCCCATTGTCTTTTAGGTCATATGGTCTGGGTTGTACTGTCTCATAGTTGCTGTAAAATTGTAAATCACTTTTTATTTGTGAGATCTTTATTTTTAAGTGAGACAGTGTGCTCACAAACATTTTGCTTGCCTATGAACATTTGCCCCTAATTCAACAGTATGCCCTTACTATTTCTCTGGTGTGGCAGTCTACTAAAACTGCTGGGAATTCAATTATCTCATGGGTGTAATTGTAGTTGTTCTCTTGGCATGTAGCTTCGAAGTCGATGACAATTACATAATCATATGTACATTCCACTGGAGGCTTAATTTTAGCTTTCATCAATTTCCTCTGCTTGAAATGCATTTTCAGTCTTTTTTGTAATATGTCTTTGGAACCTCTAAAATAAAGACCACATTGTCAATTAAGTCCAAGGTTAATTAATATAATAACATAGACAACATTTCAGTAAAATAAGGACATGCTACGAATATGCAGCATTGTCAGTAAGAATTGAAAGAGAGGAAGAAAGGAAAAGAATAGGAGAATCTGGATTAGACCTTCCACCATGTTACACGCACAACATGTACAAAGAAATTAATCATGCTAAATTTAATCTTGCTAACTTTAGATATTTCTTCCCTTTTAGAGTGTCCTCATTTCCAGTACTAAGCCAAATCAATGATAAATTGTACAATGCTCAGTTAACCTTAGACTTTCAGTAAGGAGTGCCATTTTCGGCACTATGTAATTAGTGTCTGTCAATGGCATAGATTCTCATTGGTTAAGAAATGAATAACATCTGGAACTTCAAATTGTTGTTGACAATGATGCAATGACTTTTAAAAGCCCAACCGCTTTGCCATAAGACATATTGTTATTCCATATTCGATACACTCATTGACATTTGCACAAACTTGTCCTGCCAGTGTGTATATTTCAACAGTGAATGATAGCTGTGTAAATTTCAGATGTTAATTAATAATTATGTAACTTCGAGAATGTACTATTTCCCTTTTCATGACATTTTTTATGGCTTCATAAAATTTTGATTGGGTGGGGCTACAGCTTTCATATTTCACAGGTGTATTCTTAGTGACAAGGCCTTGCTTACAGTACCACCAAATTGAACCTTTTGACCTTGACCTTTGGATTTGACCCACCTTGGCCATTACTTCTGAACAGTTAGCAGGTTAGTGCTAGGGCTTTCATACTTCATTGTGACTAGACGTTTATAAAAATTTGGACCTTTCAACCCTGACCTTAGAGTTTGGCCCTTTTTTAAAAACTGTAAAGTTGGCCATAACTTTGGAACAGTTCCCAGTACTAGGGCTTTAATATTTCACAGATGTATTCCTTGTGAGACATGTGAGAAGACCTTCACACAATTTTGACCTTGACGTTTGACTTCCTTAAAGAAACTTTGAACAACCCTCAATGTAAACTCCATGCTTAGGCATCAGAATATCACATACACATCTTGTTTTGATATCTGCAGATTGCTTTAAATAACAAACACTCATAGTCTGATGATTTTTTTTTTTACAATGACTGCTTTCTAAACTGACACAATGAAAAATAACATATATACCTTGCATCAAGTTTTAATTCAGCTAACTTGTCCTGTAGTTCCTTCACCGACATGCGATTAATCTCTCCATTTATTGCTGATAACTTTTTGTACACAGGGTCTACTTCTCCTCCCTCATCCCTCTTTGCTTTCAATCTATGAATTTTCTTATGAGTTTCTCCACCCTGTATTTTGAAATGAGAAAATCATTATTCATTAATTTGTGGATTAAACTTAGAAATTATTTATAATTTAATGATGATTGACTAGTTCAAGTTATCAAAATTCAACAGACTTCTTTAGATACAAGGAGTATACCCTCTGCAAAAACAATTATTTAATTCCCTTTCTATTGTCGGCTAAGTTGCATTTGCCATATAAAACACACAGTATACAAAAATATCCTCCCTAACCAGCACTGTAATTGGAAAACATTTATGGTCATGGAAGTGATGATTTCTAACTATGTGAAGAGCAGAAGCATATCCCTGAATTGCACTGAAAGTCTGGAGAGACTTGAGATTTTAAAAGATTTCTGAATTTGTATGCAATCAGAGGTCAAAATTTTTGGCTATTTATCATAATTAATGGTTAGAAACTGACTTTCACCCTTTAAAATACTTGTAAAATTCTTACACTCATGGTTATTTTGTTGTGGCCATTTGTAGCCATGGATCATGATCATGTTAATATGAAACATTAAGTTCTGAAAATGTAAATGATAATGATTTTGTACCCATATAGTACTTTCTGTACCTTAATTATGAATGAAAAAAATCAAATAATAGTTACTCAGGAAATAGTCTTAATAAGCATGATAAGTAACCAGATTGTACATGCTGTATCAGGTTGTAACCAGGCTACATTTTTCAATGGTTTTATATCAATTAGCGCATGCAAGCACTGCAAGCTCAACAATGTCTCAAAACCATTGAAAGTGTTTAATTTTTCTAAAATATTTTTTTAAAAATCAGATCATTTAAAAGTTAAACCTCCCATTGAAAGTAATTTCTGAAAATATCAGGTCTTTACTAGAAATATCAGGTCATTCAAAATATCAGGTCAACAAGTTTTTGTAAGAACACCTTGATACAAAGAAAAAATTCTCAGTGATATTTACTAAAAGTGTATTTTAGTATAGTATCATCAATAATTGTCTCCCAAAAATCGATACAGAATGTTTAAATTGATAATTTTATGTGATATTATTTCATCAGGTCAAAATATCAGGTGTTTAGTATGTTCCCATGTCTTGATCTTGTGGACTTGCACAAGTGACTGGAACAAACCTTATAGTCTGTTGCGATATCGCTTTTCGCTTCTTCAGCCGATGACATTATCAGATCTATTTTCTGGAACGAATAAATATTGATATACATGATAAAGGACCATAATCAAGGCAAATTGACTACGGTGCCCACAATAAATGGTAACTTGCTGTCTATTGAATGCCGCTTATATCCTTTTAAAAATATTCACTCATTCATTTAATCCTGAGATTTTTCAGTTAATAGTGTGAAATATAATATTTCTTCCATAATTCATGAAATCGTTATATACTAACTGTGGTTCTTTTAAAAATAATACATTCTAATTTTTTTAAGGTATTAAGCGATAATCATAATTTTATAAAAAGAACTGAAAACAAATTTACGGAAAATCATTAAACTAAAAAAAAACTTCATTTGCTACTGGGAAAGGCCATCATTTATTTTTGTTTTTCTTAACACATAAATTATAATTCAATTTTAGGATAGATTGATAAAGCATTTCATAAACGTCGTGAATAATGTGAATTTTTTCCAATTATGTCCGAATAAGAATTTTTATCAACTTTCACATAACTGGCAAAAATGGTTCTGGAAAGCACAGTTGTCTGGTAAGTTTTGTGGACTTTTGGGCATTTATTTTGTTTTTGTTGATGTTGCTTAATCTGAGGTTTCGATCTAAATGTTCAAAAGACAACATAATATACATACATAGAAATATTGGATCAGAAATGGACAAAAAGTAAGACGTGTGACCGTTGTATCAGTGTCATGAGTAAGCTAAATTGAGTGATAAACAATGCATCATAAGGAAAATACCAGATTATTCCAATTACCGAAATGCCCCTGATTTACCGAAATGCCCCTGGAAATTACCGAAATGCCCCCTAAAACTACCGAAATGCCCCTTTAAAACTTAAATACGTTGGTTTTTATGAAAGGTAGTGAGTTAAAGCCATATACAGGTTGGGCACACACCGCCAAATGGTCATTTAACCCCCGTTTGGTGGTCATTCGCCCATATCGGCGTCTTTATTAACCACCAAATGGGAGAGAAAAATCGTTTTGTTCAGTTCTCTGGAATGACGTGAAATGGCGCATAATTTCAACTCACGGGGAATAAAATATAGATATTTATCTGTACTCTGAACGAAAAAAATTAAAATTTCAACGCGGACTTTTTTGCGCAGTGTCGTTCAAATAATTGACAAAATCGTCACCTATGTAAACAAATGTAATGTTTCTCTGTTTTAACTTTAAAAGAAAAATTCCCTCCGTCTCGCGCGTAGTTGAGCCTATCAATCGTGTTGATCACTTCATATTTCTGTCATCCGGGCAACCGATCAATTATCTAAACCAATCAAAAATGACGATCTTTTCCAAACTTGGGTCAAAAGACTGAATTAACTACGGAGGCCCATAAGTGTTCATTTTCAAAAAGTAAAATGAGAGGAAGGGTAAGAATTCGCTTTTATTTAGTTTATTTCGTAAGCAATGGCTTTATTCTTTATAAAAATGCGATATGCAGTGAATTCATGCTAAAATAATCACTCGAAAACCATAATCTTGGAATAAAAACAGGAATAATTGCAAATGTCACTTTGTAAATCTTTTATTCAAAAACATTTAATAAATATAGTAGATACAACATAGATATGCATACTAAACCACAAAGGGTCGCACAAAAATTGTAACTTCATCCTAAAAGAAAATAAAGAATAAATGTTACATTAAAATGTAGGAAAAATGAATATTATAGCACTAAGTGCCCACCATACGAATAAGATTCGAGGAGCTCGTGTTTAATGGGATTTTATACAGATTTGCATAGACGCAGATCGAAAGATCGTTTGAAAAGCTACTTCTAGAGACTAACACCTCTTGCTTAACTGTATTTTGTACCGAACTATACACAACAAAATAATTTTTTGTATTGTTTGAGCTAATAGTTCGGCCGTCACGAACAGCTGTGGGTTTCGTTTTTACGAAGTTCCACAGAAATTCCACATGGAAAATTGACTAAATTGTATTAAATGTGCGATGAATATGTTAATTAAAATTCCTCAATGCCTAAGTAAATGCGCTTTTGCTTTATTTCAATGAAAATTGGATTTGAATAAAAAAGACCACCATTTGGTAGGTTAAAAAGACGCCGATATGGGCGATTGACCACCGAACGGGGGTTAAATGACCATTTGGGGTGTGTGCCCAACCTGATATATGGCGTAACTGATCAAAAAAATATATTTTTGAAAAATACAAAATTAAGTAAAGAAATATAGTTAATACATTTAAATTAAGACTTTTCATACAATTCTGAACATGGAGAACACCTCGTTTCATCTAATAATACGATTTTATCTTCTCTTTATTGTGTTATTTAAATCTTTTGTATTTTCTTCCGAGTCGGAGAAAATTCCGAAAACCCAAACTAAATTGTGATATCTTTACAACGCAATTGACTTAGATTTTGTAATTTATGGAAAAGTTCTATCTTTATAAAAAGTAATGATACAAATAATAACTTCTTATAATTTTAGTCTTAAAATTTTCATTGTACATATGCCATATATGGCTTTAATTATACATATTTTTAAAAAATTGAATAAAAAAATTATTTACAAATGTGTTTTTTTTTTCTTTCAAAAGGTTCGTTTATCTAATATCTAAGAGAGATAACTCTTTAGTAGTATCTGTATTCATATTAGCAGAATTATTTTTATCTTGATGATGTCGATTTACATGCTGAATAATTTGAATTAATTAATTAAAAATTTTAAGTTTAATATGCTATAAGCATTTGATAGCTTTGTTTATTTGGTGTATAAAGAACTATATGCGGTATTAACCAACATTTGCCCCCCAAAATCAAACTTTGATGGAGTAATATTTAATTAAATACTTAAACATAAGTAATGACGTCATATGTACGTAATGACGTCACAAATATGACGCAAATTTCAGTTTTTTATGAATTTTGCAGAAAAATGTACATATTTCGTCGATATTTTAAATAAAAGTCACCAAGCGCATATGTGTTCAGGATTAATATTTTGATATAATGTGTAGAATGATAATATCAATGAAATATGTCAATATTGTTCCTGAACACACATGCGCTCTATAAATTCTAAAGCTTAAATTGTTGAAATTTTGTCCATTTTGTCCTCTTTCTGAAAAAGGATATAAAATCGGACTAGTTTGTGACGTCATAAAAACAGAAATTGTGAATACACTGCTCTAGAACTATAATATTTTCTGTTAACTTATATTTCTCGTACAATTTATTGAATTCAGCACATTTCAGGAAGTTTTCAAAATTTGACTTTTGTGGGGGCAAACATATGCAATATACCGCATGTAGTTCTTTTACAACGCTGAGCCCCAGGGGTTAAGTCTCCCACTGCGTACCGTTATCCATTCAAAAATTTGCCGACATTATTGCTATTTAAGAGAAAGAGTACGACTTTTCAAAGCACTGGACAGGTAAGTTTTTTTTTTTATTTTGTAGCTGGTAGTAAGCCCTAAATATGTATGAAAAGAAAAAAAAAAAACATTCATTTTTAACAATAAGAGGGATCATAAAATAACGGACAGTTTTGTTACTCAGTAACATGCTTCCCGCTGAGACAATGTTGCAAGAGTTATCACTCTTAGAGGTCACAAATATTTGAGCCAATCAAACACTTATTTTTAACATTTGTGTTCAAAAAATACAGTTTCGTTAATAAAATTTATCATAAATTATCATAAAATGACTATTAGAATATAATTCAAGGGGCATTTCGGTAGTTTTAGGGGGTATTTCGGTAATTCCCAGGTGATTTTAAATCAGGTACATTTTAATTCGGGTTACCCGGAAAATACATATATTTTAACGTGCTCATCCATGAATTTTTTTTGTTTGTTACATTTTTTGGTTCTTTGAAGATGAATATTGACCACTGTCAACCACTAAATTAGTTTTTCTGATAAATTGCTCCCCGTGATACTTTACAATATACATATTAAATGTCATCAAACATGAATAGCCATATCTGGTATTGGAATGTCAGTTTCAAAAACTTTCCATCACAGGTGAATGGCCAAATAGCCTTTTTTAAGTTTATATGACCTTTAAGGAGGGAGAAATTTGGTTGTCATACAGGTTTGTTTGCCAGTGACCAGCTCAGTTAGTCAGTGGGTAGAGCACCTGACTGGAAATTTAAGGGAGAGCGGGCCTTGGTTTTGAATCCCAGTCTGGTCCATCACATTTTTTGCCTCTCCTGTTATCAAAGTATCATGATTATGTCAGCATTAAATATATTAGATATATGATAATTGATTGATAATTTATAGATACCATGCAGCATGCTTATGAGGGAGGAAAAACTTATAATAAAAAAATAATACCCTTAGGCCAAAATTAAAAATAGCTTTGTTTCCCCTAATGCAGACCGACCCAATTAAATCGCGCCGACTGAAAAGATTTTTTTAATAAGTTGATTCAAAAAATTTTTATTGTTAACCAAGTTTTATAACATACACTTTCATAAAATTCAGTTTTTATCAGAATGGCCGATATTGTTCTATTGTGATTTTCATTGCATTTGTTGGAAACAAAATGGCGCCCAGATGTGGTTCTTCATATAACAGCGGCAACGTCTCAATCTTTTGCCTTTAGCTGATTAGAATTCTTCACTTTTGAAACAATTCGATAAAATTTACCATGACTAATTAAGAGTGTTTCGGAGGTGTCTTGGCGTCTCCATGTGAGTGACTAAATTTTTAAACAACAAACATTTCTGTTGAATTTTTAAAAGGTACGAAATACATGGTAAGGCTCACCTAGTATAGACACTATTCATTTTCACTGTATTTTATTTAATTTGAGTTTTGATCTAATAACCAGTTCATTTATGTCTGCACATTCATCCTGATAAATATAATTCAGATATTCTTTCTTCAAGCCTTTAATTATGGGTTAAACTTTGTGACTATGACAGGGTTGTGGTTAACCACTCGCCCACTCGCCAATGCGATTAAAATTTCAAGTGGGCGATGAAGAAATGAAAATTTGATCGCCCACTTGGCGAGCGTCTTGTTCCCGGAACATGACCGTGCTTTGTTTGTATTTTTATAATCCACTTCCTTTTTTCATAATTAACACTACGCTAACCATGACTTTTGGTGTAGTGTGCAAACAGAGATGTATTATACGTCTCTGGTGCAAACTATTACATTTGTATATGATACAAGCACTTGCGTGACCTAGACGTATGCCCTAGAGTGAAACAGAGATGTATAATAGCTTTTATACGTCTCTGAGTGAAACCAATAATGTGGTGGTTTATTGATGGGGTCAAAAAAACCCAAAAACGTACTGCACAATAAGTGTTATATATACAAAAAGAAAAGCAGCATTTTCAAATATTTTGTTGATGATGTGTGTGGGCCCATAAATCACATTGTGGGCCCCTAAACTTTGAAATAAGGGGCCCACATGGCTCCTAGGATGTAAATGGTTATCCATACTGTACTACACTGTATATAGCATTTTTATCATTTGTAGATTCGGATGGGTTGCATTAAAATAAAATATTGTTTACATACTCTTTCCAAATAGTTTTGAAATCATGATTCAGCTTCCTGAGATGTCCAGTTTATTCTTCATTAATTAGAAATTGGTTGTTTCTTTGCTTTTAATCCCTTCGAGGTTTGTTGGGACGACATTTGAACATTTAGACGTACTCAGCACTTTTTGCCGTGACTTTTGGAGCTTAGGGGATCTATTTTGAGCCAGCATCTTCTGCGACACTGGACATAATTTTTTATGGCCCCTTTCGAAGGACCGTTTTCAACGTTCCTCATTGCGTGAGATTTGAGCATGCGATTTAAAATTAGCCACTTACTTATTAACTCTAAAGCAAAATGCTCCAGAACAACTGCAAATCTCATGGCCCTCAAAAAAGTACATTGATCGTCTATAAGCTCTGAAGGTTGATGAAAGGTTTGAAAAAATATACTCGGATGACCGGTCTTTGCATATTTGATAATTTGGTCTTTTTTTATTTGAATTATATAAATGTACTAGCATGAGATATTTCACAAGTTCAACTGATTAACAGTTGTGAATAAATTAATCATGAATTTTGCTTTTAAACGGCATATGTATAATACTTAGCATTTTGTTCACGAATCACTTTTCTTATTTATAAAAGTAATTTTCCATGAAATTTTAGAATGTATTTTCAAAGCTGCTGTCAAAAAAAAATTGTTTACCTACCTACCGACCCAACATGAGAATTTAGGGTCGGGTTAGGGGAAACAAAGATATTTTTAACTCCGGCCTTAGGATGCAGCTAAAAAGTGTCGCAGCGAATTGAAGGTTTTTACAATGCTTGGATCTAAGGCTCTCTGGTTTGTCAGTTCAGATTCAACCAGAGAGCTACAGTTCTGCAGCTAATTTTAAATGATGATTATAGACTTTTTAGTTGTGCATTGACAAAAAGAGTCTGATAGTTTCAAAAAAGTTGTTCGCAAAGTTCCTTTATCATGTTTATGATTTACCGAGAAAACTATAATAAAAAAAGTCATAAAGAAATAAGAATCTTTAATTATTATTGCCTTTTCTTTCACAGTGTTGATAGCAGTGATTATATGAGAAATGGAGACTTTGTTCCAACACGATTTCAAGCTCAGCAAGATGCTGTCAATCTTGTGTGCCACTCCAAAACCCGCTCCAACCCTGAAAATAATGTTGGACTAATTTCTATGGGGAGGTACATGTTTATATTTGTTGATGAATTTCAAAGAATATTTAACTCTCTGACTGTGATTGATGTATGTATGAACTTAATGATCATTGTACTAGGTTCAAACATGCATGTCTTGTATAATTTTTCCAGGGAAAAATTGACTAAACTGAATCATGTTCATAAGTCACATTTTTAAAATTCAATTCATGCTTTTAAGCGAGTTTTTACGAAGGAAATGCCCTAGTAATTCAATAACCATGATAACAGACTTGATGAAAATGTGATTCAAACTGAGAACAGATTTTATAGTGCATATGAACATAATGAAACTGACAATAAAACCACAATGAATCAATACTGCAGTGAACTGTTTCACTCCCAATAATTTTGTATTTAAAGTACAATTGAGATTTTAAATCCTGATCATATTGATGAAGTTAAAATTATGGTTTGTTTTTCAGTTCTGTAGATGTCTTGGTTACCTTGACAACAGATGTAGGCCGTCTTCTAAGTAAACTGCATCAAGTGCAACCCAAAGGCAACATAAAGTTCAACACTGGAGTCAAAGTTGCTCATGTAATTATTTAATTAATAAGTACAGTAAAACTTGTTTAGTACGAGCAAGGATATTGCGAATTTGCGGATATAGCAAAATTATCTTGGATCCCCAGCTATATAAATTTAATGAATTCCATAAACGGATATAACAAATTACGGAATCCGATATAATAAAGTAATTTCATAGGTCCCAGTTACTTTGTTTTACTGTATCTAGTATTTAACAATAGGTCTTAAATTAAAAGTAATGCCATCAACAAATGCACATCAAATGCCACTTATCAAATGATTTTTTTAATGTTAAATATAAGAAATTATGTCCTATTGTAACTTGCACAAACAAGTAATGCCTGTTCATCTGATGTCTTTATTATGTCCTATTGTAGCTTGCACTAAAACACAGACAAGGAAGGAATCACAAGATGAGAATCGTGGTCTTTGTTGGCAGCCCTATTGAGGATGATGAAAAAGAGGTAAGAGTAATGCCACAGTGGTCATTGTACATGTCATGTTGTATATCAAGAGACATCTTCAAACCCATCAGATGAGCACTGTGCACAAAGTGCCATTTTTGAAAAAAAAAAATTATTTGTCCTCTCCAGATCAACTAAATTGTCCTGGCTATAAATATTTTTTGTGTTCAGGATGCTTTTTGTTTTACTTAGTTCTGAATTTCTCTCATCAAGTTTATATATATATATAGGAACTTTACTGTGATATTTCAGAGGTTTTCAGTGTCTTTACATTCATTTTCAGATGGTGAAACTGGCAAAGAAACTCAAGAAAGAAAAAGTCAACATTGACATTATTAATTTTGGTGAAGAGGTAAAAGTCTTTTATGGAAACCAGACCAGACATTTAGTTCACAGGCATTATTTAATCAAAACTCATTTGTTGTTCAAAGTATTGTAGTATTTTTCTTTAAATATTATATGAAACGGTATACACTTAATTTACAAATATTAAGTGTGACATTCAATTAATTTTAATTGTGCATTACATATCTTGTTTTGCATTGATTTTAAACAAATTCTCAAAATTAAAGTTATTTCTACATATATTGTGCATTTTTTTCAGCAATTAAATACAGATAAGCTGACAACATTTATCAATACCATCAATGGAAAAGATGGTAACAGGTAGGCAGACTTTACTTCATTGTATGTATACTCATAGCTGAAACTTCCCAATCTATTGAATTTACAGAGCTGTGTATCAATTTTTCTGATTTCTCAGTTTATCCCCTCTTCATCCTACATATCTGTACAGTCGTCGTCTCATAGGGTAGAAGTTTATATTTTAAGTCTATCCTCTCTTAATCGTGCATATTTGTACAATCATAGAGTAGAGATTTCTAGTTTAAGTCTGTTTTCTCTTAATCCTGCATTTATATATGTGCAGTCATCATGGTCATAGTTTTAGAGGTTTCTTCTTTAACATGTTTAAGTGCCGAAAGAAAGTATTTTTACTTCAAACATGCAGACAGGATTACATGTTGTTAAGTGCATGGTTTGAAAAAGATCACATTTATTTCTTAAAAAATGAATTTTTGCGGTTTTCTTAGCTGTTTTTTACTTTAATGTTGACGTTTACAGCTGTTATTAAGTATATAGTAAAATAAATGTTGACGTTTACAGCTGTTGTATATAGTAATATAAATGTTGATCTTTACAGCTGTTGTATATAGTACTGTAAACCAACTTTTATTCGTGAGCAAGAAATATCTGCGAGTTTTGCGACTTACTTTAAATCGCGAATATTAATCACTGCGAACCATTTATTCAACATGTTTATAAAGAATATTTCCTCAGTCGCGAAAAATAATCATCGAGAATTGATATCAAACTGACGAATCGCAAATTAAAGATGTTGGTTTACAGTTATATAGATGTTGACATTTACAGCTGTCATCTAGTAACGGTCCCCCGGACCCTCTGCTGTTGTATATATAATATAGATGTTGACATTTACAGCTGTCATTTGGTGACGGTCCTCTCAGGCCCTATGCTGTTGTATATAGTAATATAACTGTTGATATTTACAGCTGTCATTTGGTGACGGTCCCCCCGGGCCCTATGCTGTCCGAGGCTCTGATGAACTCCCCCGTCCTGGTGGGAGAGGATGGCTCCGGAGCCGGACTCTCGGCTGTCGGATTCGAATTTGGAGTGGATCCAAACGAAGATCCAGAATTAGCACTGGTGAGAGGACTTGTACAAAATCATACAAATTCTTAATTTTAGATCGGTGGGAAATCGTTTCTTGACATTTTTTTTGAAAGATTGCACTGAAAATGTTAAAATAAAATGTGCAGAGGTGAATACCACATACCAGTAAATACAAGACAAGAAAAAAAGAAAATCAAATGACAAGCTTTCTTGGATTTGTATTTTTCTGCAACTTTGCAATTATTATCCATTTATAATAAAATTGAAGAATTATTATTTATAATAAATTAAAAGTTAAGTCTCATACTAAATGATAAAGATTTTGTAGATATTATGGAGAAGTAGACTAAATGTTGAACATTTTGTAGGCATTACATGTATCCATGTGAATGTTTTGTAGGCATTACGTGTCTCCATGGAGGAGCAGAGAGCCAGACAGGAGGACGAAGCTAAGAAGGCTAATCCGGCCGCTCCAACTGAATCCGCATCTCAGCCGACAGAAGCAGGAGGTAAACACTAACATTATCCATCATTACATTGTATGTGGTACAATTTAGTATATTTAAAGAAAAACTGTTTAAGCATTTGATATTTGTAACCATTAATGAGTTGTAGCAGTGACATGTAAGGGGAGCTGGTGAAATGGAAGTTGTGACTGTAAAAATAAGCATTAACTCTTGCAAATTACAAATAAAAAGACAGGTGTTTCCATTCTAATGAAAAAGTGCAAGCTTTTTTTTGTTTTATGTGTGTAAAAATAATTTTTTGAAAGTTTTGTGATAAGAATTACGTCATGTGGTTTTGCGTTGTACAAATATGGCGTCACAGAAGTTTTCCATGTAATAAATGCTTGTTTAACTGTCTCAAGCTGCATTGCATTAGCCAATCAGTATGAATTTTACAAAACAGTGACATTAGAATTTCTCTCTATAAAGCCGGAACGCAGACCTCTTCCTTAGCTTCTCTGTATCTGCATTCCAGCCAGAAATAAAATTAAATTCATTTTGTTGATTATAAAGGGAACAATGAGGAAGCTATGTTGGAGCAGGCCTTGGCGATGTCTGTACAGCAGGAGACTGGAGATCAGCCTACACCCAGTGTACCAGACTTTGGTTCAATGACGGAGGAGGAACAGATAGCGTACGCCATGCAGATGTCACTGTCAAACTCCGGTAAAATTTAATGGCTTCTGACTTATATGAAAAAATGGGCAAAACTAATATCCAATTGATATGATGAATTCAAACTTCGGTAAAATTTTATGTCTTCCAATTTACACGAAATGAGCAAAACTTTCAAACTCTGGTCGAATTTAATGGCTTCTTACTTACACAAAATGAGCAAAACTCATGTAATGAATGTGATGAATTACAAAAAAATTTAATTTTATCCAGTGATGAACATTTCCATTGATATAGTAACATAAACCAGCATTTGAGAATAAAATTAACACAATCAAAGTGGGGTTGGTTGTTATTTGGAATATTGAGTTATCAACAAGAAAATGCTTTAAATTTTTCAAATAAATATCAAATTAATTTTTTTCCTTTGATTATTTTAGCTGCCCAGACAACTGAAAATACCCCAGCCCCTATGGATGTCGATAGCGAAGAAAAATCAGCTGATGATAAAAAAGCAGTATGTTAACATTGATAATATATGCTCTACTCAACTCATACATGTAACACTGTGTAATGCAAATGAAAGTTGTAAAATTATGATAATTTTCATGAGTAGTAGATATCAAATATTGCCACCAATTACAACATATCATTAAATTGGACATGCAAAGCTTAAGGCATGCCAAGTGGTTGTGGCTGCATTAGCCATGTTATAACAGCTTGCTCATTTGAATCATGGTTGATTGACCTTTTGACCTTTACCAAGATTTTAATTTTTTTTTCCCATTATTTAATCTCATCTGTTGTTTTCTATTTGACCACAACAGGCGGATGAGGACTACTCGGATGTGATGAATGACCCCGCCTTCCTCCAACAGGTGTTAGAAAACCTCCCCGGGGTAGACCCCCACGACGAAGCCATACAAAGTGCCGTTAGTTCTATGACAAAAGATGGAAGTAAAAAAGACGATCAAAATAAGAAAGATTCTAAATAGACATCTGTTTAGTACAATCCCATATCCTTCTCTGTATTGTCATTTTTTGTGAGGCTAAAGAGCAGTCATTTGTTCATAATACTTGTATATTTGACATTTGAATAATTTTCATTAAAATATTGAAAGTTAGAAAATGAAAATTGTCTTAATGTATATATATTTATTTATTTAAACTATGCCTCTGAGGCTGCATTCTGATTTTAAAAATCAGATCATTGTTAATATGCTTTGAAATTCTGCTGTGCGAAGCAGCCATCAGAATTTAGGAGCGTTGCAAAGATCTGATTTAAGGTTCATTGATACTCGGATAAGAGAAATAACTCTTAATGACATAAATTTCTATTATTCTTTTATAGATTTGCCAAGTTGAAGTGTCTTTTCTGTCAATTTTGCCCCGCAAGCTATGCTATATTGTTTGTATTATAACCTTTAATAGTGAGACAAAGTTTTCAGAAATTGTAGCAAATTGTGGTCACTACTGTTATATAATGTTAAGGAAAACATACACATAAGAATTATATTTTCCTGTCAGAGCACCTTGTCTCATGAAATACATGTAAGAACACGAAAAAGTTCTCATAAAGAAAAGGCGATTTACAGTAGCTGCCAGAAGATGGATTCCCTTGTCAAATTAAAGAGGCTGAACAGGATGATGCTGATTTTGTTTCAATCACAAATACATGTACTAGATCAGTAATACATTTTAATATGAAGTACCTGGTATATGACAAATGAAAATATGTGAGGATAGTAAGGCCTTTTTACTACTAAATTTAACATGGCAACACAGTCCTGTCATAAGTGAAGAATTTTCCGGAGTCCTCTACAGTTAATGAATCTACGACTTTTAACAAACAGTTAACAGAGTATTCAGTGGTGAATAAATTGGGCACGTTTTTATGATAAGGTCTAGATAAGTCCGTATCTACTGTGCCGGGATGAAGTGACACACAGATGATTCTCTTCCGGCCTCGTCCAAATTCTATACCGAGGTTTTTGGTGGCCATATTGAGGGCTGCCTTGGACATTCTGTAGCTGTACCAACCTCCAAGACCTGAGGAAATAAAGAATTGTATCAATTTATACAACATAACTGGGTGGTAGGCATGTTGTGATAGTATCAACATAGTATAGTTTGATACATATGTATCAACATATGAAGTCAGATGTAAAAGCCTGAAGTAGGAAAAGTATCAACATTGTAATATAATTATGTTATTTCAATCTACAAAGAACATCATATTATTTCATAGATGCATGCTTTGAATAATCATAATAATGTATTTTTCGAGGAAGCTCCGAATTATATTACCATTATCTGTGATGGAGCCGACTTTGGCAGACATATTGGCGATGACGCCACAGTGGGCAGCCTTGGGGTCAGAGGACAAGGTACCAAACTGACCACTGCCATTCAGCAGCAGTGGACTGAACATCTTAGCCATCATCAAAGGACCAACTGCATTCGTGTGCAGCGTGCGAAGCAAATCCTGAAAAAGTCTTAAAGGTGTTACAAGTATCGTACAAAAAGTGTTCATTGATTATTCTTTTCATAAACAAGGATTATTTTAATTCCACTTACATATCTGCAATATATACCCTTCATAGGCATGGGAACCGGGGGGGGGGGGGGGTACCTTTTTTTTCCAAAGATACACTTAGTATATAAACATTGAACATTGCTGCGTAGTTTTAGCCCCCCCCCCCCCCACCACCACCCCACACACACTTTCCACAGACAAATTGCAGTGTATGTAGGTTTAAAATTGGGAAAGTGGTGCTGTTTTGGAATAATTTTGCTACTGAAGTTCGAACCCTCCCCCACCCCTACCCCTCTTCCCCACAAAAAGGATTTTCGTGTTTGGACAATGGACATTTCCTTTTCTTTTTCTTTCTTCTTTCTTTCTTTCTTTTTTTTTTTTTTTTGCTTGTCAAGTTTTTTTTTTTTGGAGATCTAAAATTTTTTTCTTACACTTAGTCTCCCCCCCCCGTGTTAATTTGCTTCCGACGCCAATGCCCTTTCAAAAGAGACAGAATAAAAAAAGAAAAGAGGAAGAGGTAAAAAAAAAGTTTAAGGCTATCAGATCCTTATTAAATCTTAACTCTTAAACTCTTAAATTATTATTTAATTACTTTAAAAAGTATCGACATGAAGCTTGAAATTGAAAAGGAGATGGGTGAACATGACGAGTGAAAAGCCTATAGTGCAACAAAATAGGCTCATGACACTTTTGGGTGACGTACTACACAAAACAACTAGTGCTAATTGTAACGGGAACCGTTACAGATGTTCCCCAAACGCTCCCCAACTCCCTTTTAGTTCCATATTCCCTGTAATATACTATTTGTGAAAGCATTCAGTCCAAAATTATTAAAAATCACTCATTCAAGTGTATTTCTAATTTCATTCGTTCCAAATGCACGCACGTGCGTGCACGTGCATGATGACCATACCTTCTTGTAGGAGTCCCTTATATTTATTTATGTTCTGAATCCCATCCTGTTTGGTTGAAAAACAAGGGAGTTATAGCCATTTCAAGTGTCAGCCAATCAGATTGCAGCACACGTGCATGCGCGTGATTTCATGATCATTTTTCTACATGGCATTGTAGGATATCCTAATGAATGATTATGTTTTAAATTTCAAAGCATTTCGTCAAAAAACAAAGGAGATATAGTCATTTAAAGTTTCAGCCAATCAGATCGCAGCACACGTGCATGCGCGTAATTTCTTGAAATTTTTTGTATATCATATTGCAGGGCATCCTAATGTATGACTATGTTTTAAATTTCAAAGCATTTCGTCAAAAAACAAAGGAGATATAGTCATTTAAAGTTTCAGCCAATCAGATCGCAGCACACGTGCATGCGCGTAATTTCTTGAAATTTTTTGTATATCATATTGCAGGGCATCCTAATGTATGACTATGTTTTAAATTTCAAAGCATTTCGACAAAAAACAAAGGCGATATGTCAATTAAAGTGTACCA